ACTAAAGGAAGTAGAGAACTAAGAGCAAACAAACCCCAAAGCTAGCAGAAGACAAGAAATAACCAAGCTCAGAGCAGAACTGAAGGAGAGAGAGACATGAAAAATCCTTCAAAAAAAAAATCAATGAATCAGGAGCTGTTTTTTTTTTTAAAAAAAATTTAATAAACTAGACCACTAACTAGATTAATAATGAAGAAAAGGGAGAATAATCAAATAGACACAATAAAAAATGATAAAGGGGTTATCACCCCACAGAAATACAAACTACCATCAGAGAATACTATAAACACCTCTACACAAACTAGGAAATCTAGAAGAAATGGATAAACTCCTGGACACATACACCCTCCCCAGACTGAACCAGGAAGAAGCTGAATCCGTGAATAGACCAATAACAAGTTCTAAAATTGAGGCAATAATAAATAGCCTACCAACCAAACAAAAGCCCAGATGGATTTACAGCTGAATTCTACCAGAGGGGCAAAGAGGAGCTGGTACTATTTCTTCTGAAATTAGTCCAAACAATTGAAAAGGTGGGACTCCTTCCTAACTCATTTTATGAGACCAGCATTATCCTGATACCAAAACCTGGCAGAGATATAACAACAAAAAAGGAAAACTTCAGGCAAATATCCCAGATTAAAATTGATGCAAAAATCCTCAATAAGATACTGGCAAACTGAATCCAGCAGCACATAAAAAAGCTTATCCACCACAATCAAGTTGGCTTCATCCCCGAGATGCAGGGCTGGTTTAACATACTCAAATCAATAAATGCAGTTCATCACATCAAACAGAACTAAAGACAAAAACCACATGATTATTTCAACAGATGCAGAAAAGTCTTTTGATAAAATTTAACATCACTTCATGTTAAAACTCTCAATAAACTAAGTATTGAAGGAGCATACCTCAAAATAATAAGAGCCATTTACAGCAGACCCACAGCCACTATCATATTGAATGGGCAAAAGCTGGAAGCACTCCCCCTGAAAACCAACACAAGACAAGGATCCCCTCTCTCTCCATTCCTATTAAACATAGTAAAGGAAATTCTGGCCAGGACAATCAGGCAAGAGAAAGAAATACAGAGGGTATTCAAATAGGAAGAGAGGAAATCAAATTGTCTTTGTTTGCAGATGACATGATCCTATATCTAGAAAACACCATAATCTCAGCCCAAAAGCTCCTTAAGCTGATAAGTGACTTTAGCAAGGTTTCAGGATACAAATTTAATCTGAAAAAGTCACAAACATTTCTATACACCAACAGACAAGCAGAGAGCCAAATCATAAATGAACTCCCATTCACAATTGCTACAGAGAGAATAAAATACCTAGGAATACAGCTAACAAGGGATATAAAGGACCTCTTTAAAGAGAACTACAAACTACTGCTCAAGGAAATCAGGACATAAACAAATGAAAAGACATTCCATGCTCATGAATAGGAAGAACCAATATTGTGAAAATGGCCATACTGCCCAAAGTAATTTATAGATTTAATGCAATTCCCATTAAACTACCATTGACATTCTTCACAGAATTAGTAAAAACTATTTACAAAATCATTTGGAACAAGAAAGAGCCCAATAGCCAAGACAATCCTAAGCAAAAAGAAGAAAGCTGGAGGCATCACCCTATCTGACTTCAAACTATACTGCAAGGCTACAATAACCAAAACAGCATGGTACTAGTCCAAAAAAAAAAAAAGATGAATAAAGAAACATAGACCAATGGAACAGAATAGAGAACTGAGAGATAAGACTGCACATTTACAACCATCTGATCTTTGACAAATATGACAAAAACAAGCAATGGGGAAAGCGTTCCCTATTTAATAAATGGTGCTGGGAAAACTGACTAGCCATATGCAGAAAATTGAAACTGGACCTCTTCTTTATGTCTTATACAGAAATTAAGTCAAGATGGATTAAAGACGTAAATATAAAACCCCAAACTATAAAAACCCTAGAAGAAAATCTAGCCAATGCCATTCAGGATATAGGCATGGACAAAGATTTCCTGATGAAAATGGCAAAAACAATTGCAACAAAAGCATAAAAGGACAAATGGGATCTAATTAAACTAAAGAGTTTCTGGACAGCAAAAGAAACTATCATCAGACTGAACAGACAACCTACAGAATGGGAAAAACTTTTGCAATCTATCCATCTGACAAGGGTCTAATATCCAGAGTCTACAAGAAATTTAAACAAATGTACAAGAAAAAAACCAGCCCCATAAAAAGAGAGCAAAAGACATGAACAGACACTTCTCAAAAGAAGACATTTATGTGGCCAACAAACATGAAAAAAAGCTCAACGTTACTGGTTATCAGAGAAATGCAAATCAAAACCACAATGAGATACCATTTTACATCATTCACAATGGTGATTATTAAAAAGTCAAGAAACAACATTTGCTGGCAAGGCTGCAGATAGGGATGCTTTTACACCATTGGTGGGAATGTAAATTAGTTCACCCATTGTGGAAGACAGTGTGGCATTCCTCAAAGACCTAGAACCTAAATATCATTTGACCCAGCAATTCTATTACTGGGTATATACCCAAAGGAATATAAATAATTCTGTTATAAAGATACATGCACGCATATGTTCATTGCAGCACTGTTCACAGGAGCAAAGACATGGAATCAACCCAAATGCCCATCAGTGATAGACTGGATAAAGAAAATGTGGTACATATACACCATGAAATACTATGCAGTCATAAAAAGGAATGACATCTGTACTTTGCAGGGACATGGATGGAACTGGAAGCCATTATCCTCAACAAACTAATGCAGGAACAGAAAACCAAACACTGCATGTTCTCACTTCTAAGGGGGAGCTGAAAAATGAGAAAACATGGATACAGGGAGGGGAATCACACACACTGGGGCCCGTTGGGGCCAGGAAGCAGAGGAGGGAGAGCATCAGGAAAAATAGCTAATGCATGATGGGCTTAATACTTAGGTGATGGGTTGATAGGTGCAGCAAACCACCATGTCACACATTTACCTATGTAACAAACCTGCACATTCTGCACATGTACCCAGGAACTTTAAATAAAATAAAATAGCTTAAAAAGTGAAAGAAAAAATAGTGTGGAATGTCATTATTAAAGAATTCCAGGACAGACTTAGCTGTTTTAACTATGTCAGAACAGGTTTGTTGAATGAATGAGCAGAGGAATGAATGAAAGAGTTACTAGCTCTACCCTAATCTTCAGTAACACTCTATACCCAGAGTAGCAATGTTTATTTAGCACAGGGTCCGCATTTTCAGAGCATATTGGCACACTGGAGTTTATTCAGAGGAAACTGACCAGATAGTGATGGGACTTGAAACCACATCTGACAAGTGATGGTAGGGGACTGGTAATATTTAATTTAAGAAAGAAAAGACTTAGGGGAAAAATGCTAAAAGCTAAGAGTTACTGAGTGTTTACTCTAGGCCAGGCATTGTGTGCAGCCTTTTAATAGATTTCATATATTATGGTTAATAATGGAAAGGAAATGTTTTATTTTGAGTTGCCCTGGAAGGCAGGACTAACAGTAGTCAGTGGAAACCGCAGAAAGATAACTGTTTATCAGAGTGATGGCATTTCTATTCTCAAAGCTGCCCAACAATAGAAAGAGCTGCTTAGATACAATGATTTCCATGTTTTTGGAGATGGGCAAACAGAGACTGGTGAAAGTTTTCATGGACGTAGTTTAGAGAGGAATGAATGTTAAATGGAAGTATGGACCCGGTGAACTCTAAGACTTTTTTCAACCTTATTCTGTGAATCTGTCATTTTCTTATGGTATAGCAATTCCGTTTCTGGCTCCGAGTTCTGTGGCGTGAGCTTTCAGTGGTCAATGTTACTTCTAATTTAGTAGATCAGTTGTAGTGGATTCTGGTTTTGCATTTCCTCCTGACAACTAAGATAAAACCCAGCAGAACTCAAAGTTTCAGGGATGGGTTACATATTTTGTGAGTGCATCATTAGGTATAATGGCAAAAAGAGCCTCTCTCACTTTCTCCTTTGATCTCTAAACTTATGTATTCTACATATGAGAGAAATAGCACCAAATATTTAGATTGCTTTTTCAAAGCAACAGTGTAAAAGCACCCCTATTTTCAAAGCATTGTAAATGTTCATTCTCGGTGTGAAAGCTTCACATATGAATAGCATTTATTTTTGTCTTTGTATTTAAATGCAGTTATCTATGTTTCTAAAATTTCCTGATTGCATTTCTTATTTTGAGCTTTGTTGTTGTTAATGAGAGTACACTTTGATCATCAGCCCACAAGTGCTTTTATGGCAATTAACATCACACCTTAAAAATTGGTTCTTAGTTGGGTGCCATAGTATGTGGCTGTAGTCACAGCTACTAAAGAGACTGCGGCAGGAAGATAGCTTGAGCTCAGGAGTTCAAGACCAGCCGGGGGAATATAGCAAGACTCTGTTTCTAAAAAACAGCAACAAACAAACAAAACACCTGGTTCTTGTGAATGGGTATAGAAAAAAATGTTGATTTAAAACAACCAAAGAACAATGAAGTTTTATAGCTATAAAAAATTAAATATCATATATTAACAGATGAGAAATTCAAGCTCAGAGGGATTAAATGACTTGCTATAGTCTCATGACTAGTGGGAAATTTGAATGTCTGTCTTACTTCTTATTCCACCAACTTACTGAGGCAATTATATTCTATATTCTTGGCAAGATCTTTTTCTTCTCCTTTGCCCTCTTCTCCTTCTCCCCTTCTCCTGTTTCTCCCTTCTCCTTCACTTCCTTCAACTCTTCTTCATCCTTCTAGCATGTAGAATATTCTTATATAAGTCACTTATATCTTTACTTACAGCCTGATTGGCATGTGACCAGAGTATACAAAATCTGAGTAAGATTCCAAAATAGCATTTTCTTTACCTGTGTCCTTAGTCAAGTAGGCAAGAGTTCTAAGGAATCTTTTGCTCTTAATTCTGAGTTGCTCTTGGATCTCTACAGTGCCGCGTATGATGCTGTCCTTGACAGAAATGTGGCCATTAAGAAGCTCAGCAGACCCTTTCAGAACCAAACCCATGCCAAGAGAGCGTACCGGGAGCTGGTCCTCATGAAGTGTGTGAACCATAAAAACGTGAGTTTTGTTATTTTGAAAATTCTGGCGGTGGGAGTTTGTGAGATTGGAAAAAGAAAATGTGTCTGTACTTGAGTAAGAAAGGCTTTCTTTACTTTGCAATTCCTGCCTCTTAAGGTTGTTTATCCTGCCAATATGCTGCATTCAATTTCATTGTCCTCGTGGTAGCTTTCTGCTTAAAAATCACCTAAAAACCATATGATGTGGAAGTGCTGAATTTTATAAATATTTCCCTAGTTAGAAAATTTACCATATTTGGTTATCTTGCTCCAAATTGAGAGCTTCATGCTTTCCAAAAAAGAAACAAGACAAGCAAAGCCAAAAGCCAGGGAAAAAAAAAAAAAAAAAAAAACTACAAAGCACCATGCTATATTTCTTTATAATTTAGGTTTAATTTCGATTTATAAGTTAGATTTAATTGTTAACAGTTGAGTTTTATTCATGTTATCTCCTTTTAGTTTCAGCTGTAGTCTGGTGGTGGCCTCTAATTGTTCAGTGAATCCACTGTGTGTTGGCATCTTATTTTTTTCAGGGATGGGCAAGTATGCAAGTACATATTTGCAAAGCACTTGAGAATGGGATCAAGAGCTTTTTCTCATCAGAACTCAGCTGGGTAGACCATTAAAGGACTTTCTTTACTTCAGAATCTAAGCTCCTTCAATCACAGGCCAAGACCTCTAGAATTCATTCTGTGCTCCACTTGTTCCTAGTAAAGATAAATAGGAGAGAATTCATTATTTTAATGAAAACTTTTATTAATAAATAAATTATAATAAATACATTGAATATATTTTACATATAAATACATAATAAATTATAAATAAAATTTTATTTTCTTAAAAATAAAAAAAATAATTTTATTACAAGTAAAATCATTCTAAGGTTGTAGAATACCTTTGTAGAGTTATCTCTACAAAGTTCTTATGTATGAAAATTACACAGAACACATTACCAGCGTGGTTTTATAAACCAGGTATCTTGTCCATAATGCTCGCCATCTACAAGTAGCACTGAGAAGACACAAATGCATTAGTATTAAGTTGAAAGATACTTGAAATGCAAATATGCAGATCTGGGCCCCATGACAGTATTTCTCTTTTCCTCTATTCCTCTACCCTGATGACTTTTTAATTCAGTCACTTGATGTATATGTGTTGAATGAATAAAATGTGCCAGGCACAGATCTAGATGGTGAAGAAAACAGACAAATCCCTGCCCAGGTGAAGCTCATGCTTTATTGGCAAGAGCAAGGCGATCCACAATAAGACAGGTCAATGTGTAAAATGTCGGGTGATGATAAGTGCTATTAAGTAAGGCAAAGCAAACAAGGAAGATTTAAAAATACTGGTCAGTGTGTGGTGGGATAGGGTTACCCATTTAAATAGGCCAAGCAGCAAAGGCCTCACCAAGAAATTAAAATTTTATGAACTGCACACCCATATCTAATATAGCCATGCAACAAACATGAGACTTCTAGAAAGGAATATAGAAATGATAGAAAGGATGGTTCCTATGAAGAGTTATATACTAATTTGTTCTTTCAGTATGTTAAATAAAGGTAAGTGCAAGATTAGCCACATGATCAATGCAATGTATTCTGTTATGCCAAGGAGGATGGAGCATAACATTGGCAATGGAAAATGGATGGATATAAGCAATGAATCAAATGTATGGAAAGTTTTCCATACATGTATTTATATTTCCCTCATCCTCATGCCAGACCCTGTAATGCAATACAATGTGGAGAAATGCCCACTTGCTTGGTCAGTTTGAGAGAATAATACTTCCCGTTCTTGACTGAAATTTTGGAGACTTATATTTATGAAGCCTAAAAAAGAGTTCCAGATTGCAGTGATAATTTATAAATAGCACCCCACCTGCTACCTTCCTTTTATGTGTGTATGTATGTATGCAGAAGTCTGCAGAAACACATTTCTGGAACTTTTTATGAAGAGGAAATCCACTACAACCAAATGTAAATTCCACATTAATAAGAACTCTGTTAATAGTGTGGAAAGAAAAGGAAGAGTAAAGTAATCTCATTAAATCTTTAATAATACGAAGAAAATCTATTTAGAAAATACTTCTTTATGGTGTTAGTTTGGTCGCCTGTTTTCTGTATTTATTATCAACTGAAAATTAGATTAAAATTGTTATTTAAAAAAAAGAATATAAATATTCAATTCTAGGAACTAGTGGGGCCTGACAAACACGGATTTACATCTGTGTGTCTGAAGATGCTGGGATAAAAGAACTGAGATTCCTGTCTGGAAACTGTTGAATTAAAATGGAAACTTTATAGCTGTGATAATCTCCTTCTACAGAGGCATTTTTAAAATTGGCTCTTGCTAGGAATTAGAATTTATAAGACAGCAAAGGAAGGCTAGAGGAGAACTTCTCGAAGGGTGAAAAGTGATAAAACAAGGTCATAGGAAAAGGGAAAATAAGAACATACAGTAGGGAATAGATCTTGATAAATTACCTTTTAAAACAATAAAACTTGATTTATTTAAAATTGTAATGCTATTTTCTAGATTTCTTAGATTATCTGGATTATTTGTTCACTAGTTGATCTGGGTTAGCATTTATCCATTGTTAAGGAGTGTTCATGTGAATGTTTGTGTGGGTGTAATGTGTGCTCTATACACAATCACTAATGTTTTTGTTTGAACAAATATCAAAATGAAATAAATTACTTTATGAGATTAATAAAGTCCTAGAGAAACAGACCCACTGTAGATGTTACAGTGAAAGATGTACTTCATAGGCAGTTTTCAACACTCACTAGCACTGAATATACAGAATAACATGGCACTTTAATCACAAGTTTTAAAGATAATTTTAAAACAATTTTATTTCTATATGAATATTTCACACTGAAAGGTTGCTTTAGAAAAGATGATTTTTTAAAAAACTATATGACAACCATTGCCATATATATGTATACTAGAAAATATTGGATGGTAGTATGATTATTTTTTGTCAACAATTTCTCAATAAGTTAAAACTACATGAGACATAAAACATTCCATAGAATTGAGTCAATTTCTCAGGTGTTTAATTTCATTTTATGTTTATTACTCCATATGTCTTTATATCATTTATAGAGTTTACTGAAATTCATTGATTGATGCTTTGAAGCTGCTTAAATCTTGACCTTGTACTTATCTATTTTTTATAAAATAGTTGCAACTATCTTGTGAGTATAAGATTTGTATCTGTATATTTTTATATTCATTTCCTGCTGGCACGTTAGTACCAAATATTTAGCTGGAAGAACATTTTGAGTTATTGATCTATGAACTCTATTTGGAAATGTGACAAGGGGTTTTTACAAAATTTGCTTATGCTAGAAGGTAGATTTCTTTACTAGCTAATATATAAAATAAAGCAGGAAACAAAAAGCTTCTAACTGAATGCAGAAAACTTTTAAATAATTTTCTACTAAATTCATCATTGATATCATCTAGAATGCACCTTTCCCCACACATATTATTGGAGCATTAGTTTAATATTTGAGGGTGAGGTAGAAGTAAAAAAATATAAAGTAACAACACAAAAAAGTCATGAAGTAGAATACGACTTTGTTCATCTGGAGGAGAAGTATCCCCTTGCTATGTTTCGCACAGTGTTTTACTGCCACCTCTCTTCTCACACCGCATTTCTTCCTTTTTTGTTTAATCCCCCAAAGGCCCATATTCTGCCACGAGGAATCACACTTGAAAGCAGTGTAACAATTATGCATCTCTCTGATTCTTTCTTCTGCCCAAGAATTGAGCTTTTTAGCTGCATTATTAACCTGAAGACAGATCATCTGTTCTTTCTGAGTATACTTTTCTGTGTCCTGTGAGACAGCTCTAGAAATTTTTCCAACTTCTCCATTTCCACCATAGCATTAGTGAGTGACTTTGAGTTGAAATAAAATTTAAAAATAATACATTCTCTCTCTTTTTTCTTTCTCTCTTTTCCTCTGTCCCTTCCGCTCTCTTTCAGATTATTAGTTTATTAAATGTCTTCACACCCCAGAAAACGCTGGAGGAGTTCCAAGATGTGTAAGTAACAAAACTCATAAAGGAAGGGAGAGCACAGCACTTAGATAGCCCAAGGGAATAACACACACACACACACACACACACACACACACACACACACACAGTTGAAATCCCTTGTACTGATCAAAGAGAGGTAAGAGGTGGGGTCAAATGAAAGGGGTCCAGTGATAGGTCAAGAAGATTCTGTTTGTGTGTGGAAAGACATTCTGCCTCCTTTTGACCTTGTGGCTTTATATGCTCTATTGTTCCATACTCTTGGTCACTCAGGAAAGGCTTATTTATTTATGATTATTAATAGATTCCATGAACTTTCTACAATGAGTTAATTTACCTGAAGAAATAGTAATAAGGCTAGGCATGCTGGCTCACGCCTATAATCCCAGCACTTTGGGAGGCCAAGGCAGATGGATCACGAGGTCAGGAGATCGAGACCATCCTGGCCAGCATGGTGAAACCCCCGCCTCTACTGAAAATACAAAAATTAGCCAGGTGTGGTGGTGTGCACCTGTAGACCCAGCTACTTAGGAGGCTGAGGCAGGAGAATTGCTTGAACCTGGTAGACGGAGGTTGCAGTGAGCCGAGATCGCACCACTGTACTCCAGCCTGGGCGACGGAGCGAGACTCCATCTCAAAACAAACAAACAAATAAAAAGAAATAGTAATAAAAGGGACATGAAAATTATCTTTATTCTTTCGATCTTTGTAGTGTCATTGATTTTGTGCAACGTCTACCCAGTAATGACAACAGATGGAGGAGAGGAAGTGATTCCCTAGTACCTTGTCCTTAACACAGATACATTGAATTTAGGAAGAAGCTGTTCTGAATTTTTTTCTTATTTAAAATTATAATACTCACAAAAGAGTTGAGGGTATACAGGGGAAAGTGAAGGCAAAATTAAGGTTAAAAACTCTATGGACACAAACCACACACTAATAAATACTTTTTCTACTAGCAACCTTGTGGTAGGGTTTGTATAGCTAACACACATGCAATACCTGGAAATTCTCATAGTCTTGATTCAGTCAAAGGCAGAGCTAAGAAGTTCAGAAGACTTACAGAGTTAGGAGAGAATTCTGACTAACTGAAAGGACTTCATAGATCTCGTGACCTGGAACTAACATTGTGGATTTACCCTTCTAGTTACTTAGTAATGGAACTGATGGATGCCAACTTATGTCAAGTGATTCAGATGGAATTAGACCACGAGCGAATGTCTTACCTGCTGTACCAAATGCTGTGTGGCATTAAGCACCTCCACTCTGCTGGAATTATTCACAGGGTAAGAACACCTTCTCTAGGATTACAATTCAAATGCTTTAAGAGAAGAGGAAGAGTAACTGTAGATTATTTTCTTTATACAGGGGGCATTGGTCAAATATAATATACTTCCTCATTTCTTTGATATTGGAATTGGCACCTAGTTCACTAATTGTAGAAGGAAATTCTAGTAGTTGAGTTTGTTCAATGTTATGTTTTTGGCTCATTGAGATGCAGCTTCTTAGAAGCCTCATGCTTTCAGCTCCTTGATTGGCAGAAGTCATATGTGCAACTGAAATCCATAGTTTGTTTCTGGCAGCATAAAGACAGCTGCCCTGATCTGTTCTTCTGTCAGGCCTAGAAATGATATATATGTTGAAAGATTTATGTTGTCCTAAGGAGAAATGTAACAGAAGACAATCAATGATACATTTTTTTTTTCTAAAACCTCATCCCAAGATCAGTGTAAATTGTGAAAATGATAATACAATTTTTTTCTGGGATTAAAAAACCTTCTGAAGATTTTTTTTAATCCAAAAACTAACAGTTAACTTATTTGTAGCAGTAATCGTTTGCCTTGTTTAGGGCTCTGTAGGTCAGGGGGACCTCATCAGTGCTACTGCAAGATTGCTATGTTGATTGAGTCAATGGAAATAACATGTTTCACTTGATACTGGCTTTTAATTTTTTCCCTTATCCTTATTGTTAGGATTTAAAACCAAGTAACATTGTAGTCAAGTCTGATTGCACATTGAAAATCCTGGACTTTGGACTGGCCAGGACAGCAGGCACAAGCTTCATGATGACTCCATATGTGGTGACACGTTATTACAGAGCCCCGGAGGTCATCCTGGGGATGGGCTACAAGGAGAACGGTAGGGATGCTTCTGGAGAGCAGCATCAAAACCGTGAATAAAATGGGTGCATGTTGTAGATAGCCAAGGGGAATGTTCTCTTTCATGTACATGCTTTTATAAGGTAGGGCTGCCAGATAGCATATTCAGGGTGTTTTTTTTTTTTTTTTTTTTTTTTTTTTTTTAATACTACTGGTAAGAAACACTCATTAAAAATGTGAAGGATGTTATTGACAAGTCAGCTTTGCTAGAAGAGCACTAAATGTTAATAGTGAAAAAGAATTGTAAATGGAGTCTGATTAAACAGTCAAGTGGATGCTGATTAGCACACGTGCCTAGATATTGAGAAAAATTGCTATTTGGGTTGCAGCTCAGCTGAGCATGAGTGTGAAAGCAGGAAGGAATCTACCGCATTTAGCCATTTGGCTTTTATGTCGTATCTCAGACTGATGGCTGTATTTCTAGAAAAAGACAAGCAAAAATGTGACACAAATCCTGGGAGTGAAAATCTTCACAGACAACTTTGAAATAATCCAAATTATTTAAATTGAATAAGAATTTCTGTAATAATTTAAGTTGCTCTGTAAGAAATATTTAGAGTAGCAATTGCCTAATAAATTCTTATATATTCCAAAAATCATAAAAAAGGAAAATGTCAAATTTGACACTACTGCTTTCCTAAAGAAAATCTAATATTCATGAACACTTTAAAATGAAATGAAGGCTGTGGAAGGAATCTTAAAAATGTATTACAATTGAGTGTTGTTGATTAAAACTAAGGATTTATTAAATATCTATTAGAAAGCACTGCAATGTATTATTTTGATGAGACTATATCTTACAAATAATGCACCATATTGAAAAACATATTCAATATACTTAGGAATTAAAATAGTTTTAAATTAGGATTGTAGATGTATTCAATGTATCTTAAATATTTATTTTCTATTCTATTCTATTTAGTTTTAGCAGTCTATTTTAATAAGTTCTATAAAAATAATCAGGGTATTTTTATGTTCAGGTGCTACAGGGTACTTTTGTGAATATTCCCTGGCCACTGAAGTTTGCAGAAACTTCTTTGTATACTCTTAGATTAGAAGACAGATAATATATGTATGCATTTATACAGAGGAAGTTGAAAAGTCACCTCTTACGAAGGTCAGCTTCACCCTGGTGGGCAATGTCAGAGTTCTGGCACCTTTTGACTCAGAAGAGATGAATCTAGTCCTCCTCACTAGGCAATACCACATCTAATTCATTCAGAAAAGAGGACATTTTTATACTTTCTTCACAAGTTATTTTTAAAAAGTCAAAGGAGAAACAAAGTCAAGAATCAAGAATGTACAGGAGACTGGGGTGGGGGAGAGGATCTGAATTTGCCTATTCGGGCTTTTCAGATCTTGGCACTGCAAATAGCTGATATTAAAATCCCTTTCCCTTTCCTCACTAGAAAGAATTGCAAGTCGCTGCCTTAGGTTTTCGACTTCTCTAAGTCCATGGAGGAGGCCTGCCTGGCACCCTGGTGCTGCCCTCCCCACCAACGGGTGGAAGGTTATCATGCAGAAAAACCTGCTTGCTCCCACATCAGGCATGCCCTGCTGTCCCCTGCACCTAGCCCCGCCTTCCTTCCCCACGGAACAATTCAGCCAAATGATTCTGCCCAAAAGTTCCCTTTGTCCACAATAAAAAACAAGTTGGAAAGGGATAAAGATTGGTAAGAGAAGGCAAAGCATGTTTTCCTAACAAGTTTGACAATTTGGAAATAAATATATGTACGTAACAATTTTTAACACATTTAATACTTTTTTCACTTTCCTTCCAGATGACTCCTTTATACATGTGCTAATTCATCATATGTCCTTTTTCTTGAAATATTTCGAATGGAAACTAAAACTGATGTTTATTTACAAGAATAAACTTCTGAAGGAAAAGCTAAGTCCCAAATACCAGGAATTGCAATTCTTTTGCCTCTAAACCATGGTTCCAGTTATTTCCTGGTTTCTTGGATTTGGTTGAATTTATCTTGTTTTGTCCCTGCCCCTGGCCCCCTGAAAAAAAGGTGGCCTCTTGTTGCCCTATTCTCTGTAATTGAATAGAAGAGAAAGTGAAAATAGCCACCTCTACAAGTTAATATCGTTTTCTCTGCATCCAGAAAATGACACAGAAAACCCTTTGGTGGCTTTTAGCTGTCACCTGCCATGGAGATACTTTTGGTTTAGCTATTGCTTTTCTCTGTTACCAATGTCACCACTTTGTGGCACTACTGAGAGGCAATGTCCAGAATCCACAAAGTAATGGTTTTTTAAACATCAATTTGAGTTCTAATACTAGACACCGTTTATGTAATAGCGTAGTGTTGGTTTTAATTCACCTTTTGGCCAACTTTTGGTGGGAGGTGAAAATTGTACTTTTAATCAAACTGTTCTTTTTCCTCCTCCTTCAGAAGTCAATTATCTTAGTTAACTTTACTTTCCTCCCTTTTCTTCACTACCCTCTCTCTCCTGTTCTAGTGGATATATGGTCTGTGGGATGCATTATGGGAGAAATGGTTCGCCACAAAATCCTCTTTCCAGGAAGGGACTGTATCCTTGTACCTTTTGCTACAGCTTTACCTGTTTTGTTCTCTCTCCCTTTTAAACACATAATGATTTTACCAGGAGAGTAAAGATAGAAGCAAAAAGTTGGGTAAGTGGTGTTATTGTAATAAAAAAGTGATGATTTCTATAATCTGACCAGTACTGAAGACTACCTACCACAATGATTTCTTTTCATTAAACTTCAATAGGCTTTTTTCTTCTAAAATTACTTTCTTGCCTGCAACTAAAAATAGTAATGCTATTTTCCTTTAATAACAGAGGCCACCAGATCCCAAATGATTAAAATATATTTACCTTTATAACTAGAAAAATAAGTCACTATTTGCGAGTCATTTTCCATCTCCTTTCTAAAACTATTTTGTGCTTCTACAATATTTAGGCATAAAAGTTGCTCTCCTTGCTGACATTCTAAGCTTCTGTCTATGGCTTCATTGATTTAAACTACTCTTGACACTAAATCAAGTCTTTAACAGGTCAATATATCATATCCTCCTCAAAACATGAACTTCTGCATTTAAAAATTGTAATTATTGTTCAAGTTGCTGGTGGTCAGGTGAGTTTAATGTAGACTTCCCTCACCTGACTTGGAGATGTGACATAGACATACATACTTGTTTTCCCAATTAAATTTATAATTTCATAAAGCAATTTTGATTTAAGTTCTACTACTGAGTCCTGCAATAGAGTCCATCAGAAATTTTCCTGTAGAGCTATCTATGATTTGGGATTATCAAATGGACTGATACATTTCTTAAATGGCCATAAGTTAACTCTCTAGTAAAGGTACAGATTTGTGTTTGTAATATATAGACAATAAAGTTTACATATAATAGTAGAATATATTTTTAAAAATACAAAAATACCTTACTACATATACTAGTGCAAATCTAAGTACAACCACAATTGACAACTTTAACAACTACAATACAGGATTGAATTTAGTGTATTTATTACATATGGATGTTTTGGAAATTGGCAATAACCATGTGACCCATAACTCTATTAACTATTCTATTGGATTGATAAGAAAATTTTATTAAGGAATCCTTTTATTATGTAAGAAATGTTATGATTTTTTTATTTAGGTATTTAAAAAGTCCAAAAGCGAAAACCAAACACAAACAAAAAAATGACTCAACAAGAAGTGGGTACCATAATAAGCTTGTATTTAGGTAGACATTTATTCATTCTGCTGGATATTAATGAGATAGTCTCGAAATTCCACTAGTAATATAAGAGTAATGACATATTCTAGAACTGCACTGTCTAGTTGGTAGCCACTAGCCACATGCGGTTATTCAGCACTTGAAATTATAACTAGTCTAAATTAAAATATGTTTTATATGTAAAATGCATACCAGATTTTGAAGATATTTTTAAAAGCATGTAAAATATATTATTAATAATCTTATATAGATTATGTTGAGGTGATGGCATTTTGAATATATTGGATTAAAGATATATGTTGTTAAAATTAAACTCACCTGGTTTTTATTCTTTTGAATGTGGACATTAAACTTAAAACTACATATGTGATTGGCATTTGTGACTGTCATTTTTCTATTAGACAGTGCTGGTCTAGAAGATAAGAAAACTGCATGGCAACCATTTATTTATAACGAATCTCAAGGTCTTGAATCTCTGTTTGCTCCATGTTCCTTTCCTATATTTAGTGTGAAGTATTATTTTCACCATTAGATTTTATATGGCTACTTAGGAAAATTTATTTCATTTTAAATTACTTATCTATAGTTTGGGGATTAATTATATGCCTAGTATAGTTTATTTGAACAAATTATAATGCACATTCATATTTAAATGTGCTGACTTTATTCAAAAGTAGGAATTACTCTCTTCATGCGTTTGTCTTTGGTATATAATACATTTTAGACAAAGAAGGAACCTCTCAATCAATACTCAGAGTGAATTGCACGGCCATATCTCTTTAATGTACTTGTCAGTGGAAAGCAAAAAGCCAGGATTTCTCATTTTCATGTGACATTTTGTTACATGTCACTTGATTTCACATAGCGAGGTTGTCCTTTGAGATCTTATTTAGCTCTTCAGGCGTTTATGAGGATTGCTTTTCTTCTATTTTGACAGTATTAAATTTAAAAGCCAATAAAAAAGAAAAAAAGTAAAAAGTTTTAAACTCAATCTAACCCTTCAGAAAAACAAACAAAAAATAGCACCATATTGATAATTCTATTTTCTTTTAAAAATTTTTCTCTTGGAAGCCGCCCCCCACCCCCGCTTTTTATCCTAGTTTGTTTTAGAAAAATTTTTGGAGCTGAAATTATTTGTGTGAAAATTAATACATAACATTTATATCCTTGATATGTATGAACCTAGACATTAAAATAATCTCTAATACAAATAATGTAGATTATAATAAAGGTTTTCATTCATTATATAATGTCTGTA